TTGTCTAGCTCCTCTTGTTCGATAGGATTTAGGGGATATACTTTGCAGTCCAGGCTTGCATTGGCATTTGGTACGAGTTCAATGGCATGATCCCAAGGTTTACGCGGGGGTAGTTCATCAAAGTTTTCTTTGGAAAACACATCTTCGAAGTCCCGATATGGTTCCGGTACTATTTCTTTGAATGTTTTTGTCTCTTTTCCCTCGTTGGCCTGGGCTGCCAATTCATTCGCCTTGCTTCCCATGGCTCGTATGTGGAGTGCTTCCTCAAAGTCTATTATGAGTATGGTGTCTCCCTCTTCTACCTCCGTTCCCAGGCTTGTTCAGGGTCTTCATCTGGTAGTAGGAAGGGTATCTTGCGACATGTACATCGGGCTAGGGTTATGGCTCCAGTCCGCCAGTCGATGATGGGGTTGTGGCATTTGAGCCAGTCGTGTCCTAGGAACAATGGCACGTTCCCTAAGTCTATGACCGCTAGATCTATCTTTTCGTGATGATCTCCGATGGTCATGCGCAATTCCACTATTTCCGTAATGTCTCCTCCTTTGTTCCTACTGCCATCGGCGTTATACACTGCTTGTGCTTTGGGTAGCTTCACCGTGTTTATTTGATGTTCTTGTACGAACGTCCGATTTATGCAGCTGCCAGTGCATCCGCTGTCGACCAGGGCGTCGACGGCTCATACCTGGCTGGTATCCAAGGTTTCGAGTTGTACGTGGATGTTGACACTCCTTCCCTTTCCTCCTCGAATGTATTGTGGGGGAACTCGTAGTCCTTCCATGTTTTGCAGGCACTGTTCTCGTTGTCGATAACTTTCTTTTGAAGATCCGATGAGATCTAATACAAGGTCTTCGTCTACCTCGATTAGCCTTCGGGGGTGTACCCACATGCGTAGGGTAGCGAGCCTTCCCTCCATGCTTTTTTCCTGTCTCATCTTTCTTCATACCCACTCAGCACTGTGCGGTTTGAGCCATCCCTTGTCCCACTTGTCGTTATAATATTCTTCCTCCAGCTCCGTTACCTCATAGTCTTCTGGGTACTCCACGGTGTGAGTCACCGGGTCTTCCCCTTTTGGTCATGCTTTGAGGCTTTGTTGGTAACTGTAATCATCTTCCCCATCGGGCACTTCTTCAAGCAAAACAGATTTTTTATTCGTAATAGGAACTGCACATAATGGTCCCACCGACCCGCCCACCGGGGAACACGAGCCCCCGGTGCCATTATGTGTTAGTGACGAAGGGAGTAAACATACTGTGAAGGGCTGTAAAGGGATGGGGTCCCCGGTTGTCTGGACTGTTCTTTGCGGGGCAGCGGTTTTCTTGCTGGGGATTCACGTTCCCTTTTGCGGCTCCGTTCCACGATGGGGGCAGTCAGTCACTCGTGGCTGGCGTGTACATTCCGCCCCTGAGTGGGGTTCTTCACTGCTCGCCTTGGGCTCGGCCGCTCTTCCTCTGTTCCCCGCGCCGTCACCTGCCCCCGATGGAGTGAGGTTGATCCCGAGTGTCCCGCCGCCTTGCGCAGCGTTAGCCGCTTGTGCTTTCGCACCGGTGGCCAAGGATCTTGAGTGGGGTTCTTCTTCGAGCATGGTGGTAATCCTCTGTACACCGTTCTTTTTATGCGACTTGGTAATTTCTTTTTGTGAATGCATGAAATTGATATTATTGCCTCGAGGTACTACATGCGGTACATTAGTCCGACCGGCGGGGTTCTGTGATGCACCACTAAATGAAATTGTGTCCTTAGCCGACGTGCGTTTGTCGCTTACGCCGCCGGCTCATCTTTTACCTCCTCGACCTTCAATGTGGAGGCTTCTCCTTCTTCGTCCTTCAGTACTTGTTGATACATAGCGCGGATTTGAGCTTGGGAGAATTTGGGCTGGTGCTTGACCAACCACGTACTCTCGTCTTTGGGGCACTTGTTGTCTTGCTTCCGATGTCCCTTGTGACCGCAGTGGAAGCATCTTCCTTCTTTCCGCAGTCGGTCTATTTCCATCGGTTGTCCTTGCCTCCCGTATGTGGTGCCCGTTCCCGTCTTCTTGTCTCCCTGGGAATTCCCAGAACTTCTGGCTTTTCCCGTTCCCTTGCTCTGCTGTCCCTGTGTCCCCTGATTTCTGCCGGCGTCTTCTGCTAGCCCTACTCAGTAATTGTAGTCCATTTGTTCTACCTGGAACTTCCATTCCGCATAGGTCTGTGGTAGGGCTGTGCCGGTGGCATGTATGGCCGTTTTTACGTTTTTCCAAATCGCCGGTTTGAGGATTTCGATCATATACTCCTCATTGTGACGTTTTCCAGACTCTTTGGCTAGTCGTTCGAAGTCTCGGAAGAACTCCTTAGCCGACTTGTACGTGTTCTGCCGGATGCATTTGAACTCCTGTAGCTTGAGTTCTACTTCCGCATCTGTCCGGAATTGGTCCTCGACGAGTTGTCGGAATGTCTGCCATGCGGGGTATCTCAGGTATCCGCACGTTTCGTCATAGTATTCGTCTCTGGCGTGATTCCACCAGTGTAAGGCTTTGTCCGCAAATCGGAACGTGCAAAACACTACCCGATTAGGGCTTTGTCCGTGCGCATTCATGGTGAACTGCTGCAGGAATACTTGAAAGTAATCCTCACACTGATTTAGGAATCAGTCTACGTCGCTTGACTCTCCTTTGAACTTTTCGGGAGGTTCTGCTAATTGCGGTTTTACCTGTCCCCACGGGTTCGTGTTCGCCACTCCGACGATGAATGGAGGTGGTGTGTTTGGTGGTTGTACTGGGTCTGTGGGAATGGGAATTGCCGTGGGACGGGGTAGCGATCATAATGCAGGGTTGTGATGTGGGGATAGGGGACCCTGTGGTGCAGGGATTGGTGCCGCAGGTTGGGCTGGCACTGTTGCTGCAGCGTCTGCATTCCCTGGAGTTCCTGCAGCTGCAAACAGCCTGCTCGGGTCGACGTAGCCTGTTCTCCTAAGGATAGATAGGTGGCTTAGGTCCACCGTTTCTTCGCTTGATGTTTCCGAGGGGTCAGGTACCGGGTACCGTTCTCCTGGTTCTGTATAATCGTCTGGATGTATTCGGCTCCACAGAATGTTCGTGTGGAAGATCGTTTCCCGGTAAAGCACCTGGCCTCCGATTGGCAAGTCTTTTTCCTTTTGGAAGTATCTTCCTTGCAACGATCCGTTCCACGAGATTTCTCGTGGCAACTTCTTTTCTGTCCAATGCAACATCTCCAAATAAGTCATATTGATGAGCTCGGCCTCAGTAGGCTCCCAAGCTAGATCCTTCCACGAATTCTGGTATGACATCTTCGTCTCCATACTCCCCTGCCCGGTGTAGCCGCTCCAGATCGAAGGCAGCACGGTTCCAGGGTTCTCGTAGATTTCTCCTTCTTCTAAGTCTGATTGGTCGGACTCGCTCGAAGGGTTCTGGGCTTCCCGTGATGATTCGGTTCCAGTTTCTAATGATTCGGGCCCACTCGTTGACCCTGAGAATGACCTGATCGAAGTCGGGTCTTCGGGGTCGGTCCCATACCCAGGGTGCGATGTAGGGAATGGGGGCTGCGAGGGGGTGTTCGGGCGCAAGGGGGTAAATTGCATAGGGGACGACGGAAGAGGGAGGTTCGATTCCTCCATACATGAGCCACACATCGGCGTAGTCCTGTGCTTGTCTGCATATATTGCAGCTGGCGTCGGCGTCATATGTGGGCTCGCACTGGTCGAGCTCGGTAGTGGCTTCCCCGGCACGATCGTTGATGATGATCGGGGTGTTCGGGCGGGTGATGAGGTTGAGATAACTGCTTTCTTCGTTTGAGGAGTCGTCGTGGGGGTACTGGTTGCCCCACGTTTCTCCTCTTGAGTCCAGCCTTGGAGGGGACCCGTTGCTCGACCCTGTGAGCTCGTTGTTGTCACTGTCCTCCTCTGAATCGCTGCTTTCTTCATCTGGACTGCTTCCAGCTCCATCTTCAGCCTCTCCTCTTTCTCCCAGATTATGTCTAAGCCCTCTTTGATAGAGGCGCCATCCGTATGAATCATATCCAGGGTTGGCAGCTGAGTTTTCGGTTGAGGTTGGGGAAGGGGCGTTCCAGGGGTCACTTCCTTCGCTTTCCCCTTCGCTTTCTTCTTCGGTAATGGGAGAGAGAATACGCTGGTCCACCCCTTGCTCGTAGACTCCTCGCTCTTCTTCTTCTTCAATGACTGGGCCTCTTTGTGCGGGCCATCCTTCCACCTCAGAGTCGGACTTGTTGGACTCGTCTGAGTCGGAGTCTGTTTCTGTGATCCACTCATCATTGTTGATAAAGATGAAGTGGATGACGGGTTCAGGTCTGTCGTCGACATATTCAGGGGGGGGTGTGTCTGGTCGTCTAGCCTCCGGGTTGGGGGCTTCGACGGGGACAGCTTCTTCAGAGACTGGCTCCTGGGTTCTTCGGTATTCGTATCCATAGAGGAATGTGAGGTAGGCTATGGCAATAAAGCCTTGTAGTCTGATGAGGTCAGTGAGGGCTTGTTCGATAGGGTTCATTCGTTACTGTTCGTCAACGGGGTTGTTGATGAAGAGTAAGAAAGTCTCGAACTAATTGTTAGCGACCGATTACACAAACAAGATTAAACAACTAAGCGTGACTCGCACTTCGGTCAGGCGCTTTATGTTGCTCGCAGGTTTGCGTGCAGGGAGCTATCGCTTAGTTGAGCGAGAGTGAGTTCAGACTAAGTTATTGGGTGAATAAACTTTAGTTCGAGACTGAGGTTTAAGACCTGCAGTTGAGCTACTTAAATACAGTTTGGGTCGTGCTAAATATACTACAACTGTCTGCAACAGTATGGTAAACATACTGAACCCGCATGGTAGAATGCGATCAAGTCCGGAGAATTAGCATAGCGAGATTATGAATGAGCCGATAAGATAAGATAGAGCGCGAAATCGTAATATCTGGGCCATCAATCACAAAGAAACCAGGCATTTCTTCAATCTCCACACCATCAACCATGATACCAGCGATCTGGTGCATTGGAGCAGGACAAAGGGCTCAGGGGGCAATACCTGCTGCTGGATCACCAGGACAATTGTGAGCTGTATGGTGGTTCCAATCAGGTGATTTGGGGGTCTTTCGGCAATGAAAACAACCACCTGCCACATGAAGGGCTTCTCTTTCAGCATACGTCAGATCCAGAAGAGGATAGCGGTGCACTGACGTAGGTGTTGTACTATTAGATTGTGGTGTAGAATGGCTAGTAACAGAGCTGGGCAGCAACTGAGTTGCAGGTACAGCTGGCCTGAGGCAAACGACACCTTCTGCGACAAGGCTTGCCCAAGTTGTCGACATCAGGTTGATCAGTACGTTGAGCTTCATAGTGCCATAGAATGTAGAAAAGGATGATGTGCCATGAACACGAAGGGAGAGGATAGGGTGGGCACCAAAGAGAAGATGGTTCTTGACGATGGAATCTGAGATGGTATAGCCAGCTCCAGCTGAAGCAAGTGCATTGCGGGCTGTCTGAAGGTCTGATGCATACATTTGGAAGTCAGCACCTGCAGCATGTTTCACTGCGTAGAAGGCAGCAAGAGCATCCAAGCACCAATTCGATGGCACAAAACGATCCTTCACCTTTGCAGAAAAATCATCCCATGATGTAATTTTCTTCAGCGCCTCACGATTCTCATTCCACCAAGCCATTGCCTCAGCATGCTCCATCTTGAGTCCAGCAACCAGAATCTGAGTTTCAGGTTTGAGTTTCTTGTCATTGTTCAGTGCTGACCAGGCCTCGAAAGAATCTGCGCAGCACGTGAGCCATATAAGGACATCTGTGGAGGTGATGGATGTGAGAGTTGGCAGGTCGAGTTTTGATGACATTGGTACAGGGCGGGCAGGGATAGGTGAAGAGTAGGAGCTAGGTGAGGGTTGGCGGTCAAGGTTGTCATCAATAGGAGTCGGCGCATGACTGGGTGCAACAGGCATTGGTGTAGTGGGCTGGTACCATGAATTTGGCCTCTCAAGAGGTTCAAGAATCGGGAGATTGAAGCGCTGCATGGTCTGACATGTGAAATGAGGTGATGATGTGGTGTTGTCCAGAGTGAAAGAAGGAAAGCAAAAGACAGCAGAGCGCGAAGGTCACAAAAAAAAAGTGTAGGCTTGTAGCCACAGAGCAACACTAGAGAACTCAATCACATGAAGTGCAAGGAATGAGCTCTGTAAGGACATCGAGATGAGACAGGTGATGGTAAGCTAGAGAGAGAGAACCGTATGCTACTGCCTATCTGAGTATCCCGGAAGTAGCTGGTGAGTAACTGAAGTCCCTGGTTACAATTTGCTGAGATTCCACCAAGGGCTACCAGAGGTGAAATTCTGTCTGCTAACACCATAGTGTCTTCCATCATAGGTATTTCTTTGGGAAGGAGTGGAACAACAACCTTGTTGATGCTGTACTGTCCCTCATAATAATTGACCAGTTCCTCTACATTGGTGAGGTGACTTCACTTGACTCAAGTTGCTTCCTCAATTGGATAATCTTTCCACTTGACAAGGTATTCAGTTTCCATGTGTCAGTGAGCTCCACATCTGCAGGTGTATTCTCAGTCCTCCAATCACTCCTCAATCTTGTATTCCTTCTTGCCATCCACTAGTTCAGGTTCAGGCAGGGAAGGTTGTTGTTGGTTAGGGAATTCCAGAGGAATGTATGAAGTGAGGAGTCACTCATTGAAGTGATTGTGAATTTTCCAACCAATGGGTAGCTTGAGTTCATAGGCCAAGGCACCTTTCTTGGAGACTACCTTGAATGGTCCCACATGGTGAAGAGGCTGGCTGTGGGCATCTGTGGAATAGTGAGTAGGCTAAAAGGTGAACCTCAAAAACCCACACACACACTCACACAAACTACACAAAAATACAATCACCCTTATAAGTTCTAGGGGGAGCAATTATTTCTAATGTGATCCAACTATACTTCAGTATCTCAAAGAGTTTCTCTTATTCTCAATGCTTCTAGTGAAGCTAAGCTTTCTCAAATGAATTCCTAAGTCTAGGAACTTTTACAGGAAGGTTGTTCACTGGCATGACACAACCTTCAAGATAGATTCAAGTTAAAATACACAAGGGACACTGATCCTGACAGAAACAGAGACAATACACATTGAAACAATAGTGAGCTCACTAAAAGAATACCACAGGCAAGCACTTCAGACTTAGTCCACTCACTACACAACTATATGTAGAAGTTCTCCAACTAACTCCAGCAGATTATCTCAACTCAAGAACACTTCAGAAGCACTCAGAGACATATTCAGAAATGGAACTTTGAACAGAACTGACACAGAACAGACTGGAACAGAACAAAACTCAGATTTTCACTTCAACACATTCTCTGAACAGACTTATCACACTTAACAGAACAGAAACAGCATCACTGATTCATATTCACTCTGACCAAGTTCTCAAAAGTCTTATCAAAAGGGTATCTTGTATTTCTCTGAGTGAGCTCACTAATTCTATGCAAAGCTTGAAGTCACAAACTGATCCTTTGTCACAGCACTGCCTTCAACATGTGTGCTGGAACTTGGGAGCTTAAAACTTGCTTCTATCTACTAGGGCTGGCCTACTTATACTACAGAGAATTAGAATTACAAACATTGCACAGTACCCAGACTCCTACATGCATAGTCAACTGCCACCACCATCTTACTGAGCATCTAAGTTGGACTCTCCAGTTTTAGTCTCTTTTCTATAGTGAGCCTGCTAAATGTGTGCCAAAAGGTGCTCTCCTAACATCTGCAGGCTTGTTCTCTGATGACCAACAGGTCTAGGTGCATGGAACTATCAGTTCTGGTATATGTCTTTCAAGGCTTCTTGCTTGGATTCACAGAGGCTTCTCATAAATATGGCAACAAATGAGTCTTTGAACAATGGGACTCAGGACAATGGGATTTAGGCTCTTGGATTTCAGCTGAAACCCACTGTCCAAGTTTGTGCTAGTGATATCTGTCATCTTGCATAAGAATTTTCCTGGATTTTCAGGCATGATGCATCATAGTTAGTGAGCTCACTAAACATCATCCATCATTAAGCAATCTGAGTTAGTTTCTTAGCTCCCATGATAGTGAGCTCTAGTCTTATCATACAGCAACTGGGTTTATAGTGTGGCCTTCCTGTCAAGCATGTCCATCAGATACAATGCTATGGCTAAGTCCTGTTAATGTTCCCATACTTCTTATGATATGACTGTCAAAGATGCACCAGCCACATTTGGCAATCTGGCAATCAGACTATAATTGAAGCCACATGAGAATCTTCGTGTCTCTTCTCCTCGAGTCATTTGTTCATCTGCTCACTCAGCAATGAGTCAGACATGGACACTGGTAGGTAGTAGTATGTTCTGGAAGTACTTACCTTGTAGTATATATACTGGGGATCTCAGCCCCCAATACACATTGCTTTAACAACTTCCTAACACAATCTCTCTCAAATGGTCAAGTCTCTCTGTTTACCACTGTGTTTATCACTTTTATTCCACTTTATTTTACAACAGGTTATGGGCCCCAGTCCTAACTAAACTACAGAAGACTCACCATAATCAATTACCTTGCCAAATTACAAACCATCCCTATACATCATGTCTGACACCACACCCTTGTCATTATTCTGCATCGAGCTACTCCAGGAGCATAACTGGGTTCTGTGAAAGCATCGCATTACTGAGATCCTGCAAGAATGAGCCCTGTTGAAGTACGCTGATGGAACATCAAAAAAACTGATTCTGGCAGATGCCAAAGCACCAACAGCTGAAGAATCAGAGAAGATCACAAAGTGGGAAGAAGGAGATGGACAAGTGCAGGCCCAAATTGTGCTCATGTTGAGTGACTCACAGATGATACACATTGCAGGAGCAAAGATGTTGGCTGAGATGTGGACGCAGCTTAAACTAGTAAAGGAAGCTAGAGGAAAATTAGGAATACTAGCACACCACCGCCAACTTTACTGCACCATTGCTGATGAGTCAACAGACATTGTTGAGCACACCACAGAGATGTGCCAGATTCAGGAAGAGCTTGGCATGTTGGAGAGTATTGTCACCGATGAAGACTTCTGATGCTGCTTGTATTGTCACTACCAGAATCCTGGGACCAGTTCACATCAGCATACCTTGGATCAACTGGAAACAACTCGACCATCATGTCACACAAGTTCATAGCCACCATCCTTGAGGAAAACCGTCGATGTAAAGAGAAATCCAGTGGAGGCAAATCTGCCATGTATGGACATAGCAGGAGGACAGGTAGCAGGAGTGGACATAACCACTCATCATCAGGAAAGAGTTCTGATGACATTGAGTGCTATAATTGTCACAAGAGAGGCCACACCGCAGCCCAGTGTTGGTCAAAGGATGGCAGTCAGGAAGGAAAGAGACCAGGCAGGAGCAATAAAGGATGGAAGAAGAAGGAATGAGCTAATCAGGCAAAGGAGTCAGGAGACATCAAGGACAACATAGTGGAAGTAGCATACCATGCAGAAACACCTCAATTTGATCCACATTTCTCATGTTACAGCTGGCTTGCAGACTCTGGAACCACATCTCACATATCCAACTGATGCAAAACCTTCTCTGACTTCAAGCCACTTGAGTCCACATCCATTGCAGGTATCAGAAGTGCATCAGTGCATGTGCTAGGAAGAGGAACGGTGATGTTAGACTGCAAAGTCAATGGAAAGACCATCACTCACCAGCTCAAGGACACTTTATATGCCCTGAAAGCCATCAACAACCTTATCTCCATCAGTAGACTGGACAATACTAGAATGGAAGTATCATTCAGTAATGGCAAGATCCAATTCAAGAAGAAGAATGGGACAGTCATATCAGAAGGGAAGAAGTCACATCACCTGTACTTGATGGATGCATGTGCATGCAACATAGTCCCTGAACAATCTAATGTTGCAGCAGACACCAGTGAGAATACGTGGGACACATGGCACAAGAAGATGGGACACCTAGGAATGGCAGGGTTAGAAAGACTTGAGAAGGAAGGACTTGTGGAAGGACTCACTATTGCAAAGGATTCACCATCACTCAGCCAATGTAATGCCTGTATCCAGGCAAAAATGACTCTTTGCCCATATCTGCAGGAGGCACAGCATCAATGAGAGGAGCTAAAAGAATTAGCCCATGGAGACATCTGGGGCCCAGCCCGCATCAAGTCCCTGCAGAAATCAAAGTACAATATCATGTTTACTGATGACGTGACATGCCGCTGTACATCTGAATTCATGAAACTTCAGTCAGAAGGATTCAAGAAGATCAAGGAGTACATTACCTTGGTGGAAACACAGCTAAAGCGAACACCAAAGGTACTGTGTGTTGATAATGTGAAGGAGCTAACAAGTGAGGAAGTCAGAGGATGGTTGAAGCAGAAGAGGATTCGCTTATAAACATCAGTGCCATATGCACACTCGTTGAATGGAGTAGCAGAGCAATTCAATTGAACACTCATTGAACTTGCCAGGGCCATATTGATAGGCAGGAACCTGCCATCATTCCTATGGCAGTCAGCCATCAAGTATGCTGCCTACATCCGAAATTGAGCACCAACATGAGCCCTTGCTGAAAAAACTCTGGAAGAAGCATGGACAGGCATTAAGCCTAGTGTTGCACATCTCCGGGAGTTTGGATGTGAAGTCTGGGTGAAAAGAGAAGGGAAAAACCTATCAAAACTTGGAGGAGATCAGACAAAGGCAGAGAAACATACCTTTGTGGGATTCACAGATGATCCCATTGTCATCAAGTACTATGACGTGCACCTGCGTGACATTCAGGAGTCACAAAACTACACATGGGTAGAACCATCACCTATTGTTGATATCAAGCCCATCAGTGATGTGCAGATCGAGGGGGAGCCATCAGATGTCAATCTACAATCACTGAAAGGGGCTGAAGAAACAAGTCAGCAAGCACCACCAGATAATACCCCCATGCCAGCACTACGATGAAGCTCACATATCACTGAGGATCACAACTATCACAAGCTTAATAACCCTAATGC